AGAGTGTATTTAATTCCCTTATTTTCATTTTTGGGAATCTTTGGTGTTGTTGTATCTTTGTTTTGAAGGAGTACAATTCGATTTAGCCTTCTTGGGATTGTTCCTTCACACTTGTTTACGTTGAAAAGTTGGTTGGGAACATGGAAATCTTGTTCTGGGGTCGACACCAATCTTAGTGGTGTCGACACTTGCCTTTTGTTATTGGTCTCAAGGGTCGACACCAGTCTGGAAGGGTCAACCCTTGTATGTTACTGAATCTAGAAGTTGCTTGCTGAGATATAGTGTTGACACCAACCTGGGAGGTGTCGACACCTTGCCTGTTGCATACATTGCTTTTCTTCCTGAAGGGTCAACAACTGTGCTCAAAAGGTCGACACTTGTGTGTAATTTTCAAATTTTTGGGCTAGTTTGGGCCCTATTTTTTGGGGGGTTTTGACTTGTTCTTTTCATTTGACTTTGGGGCTATTGTTCTATTATTACCTTTCTACTATAAATAGGCTCCAAACATATATTCATTTCACTTTTTCTCCTCTTTCCTCTCTCTCTCTCTACACTGTGAGCTCTCTTCTCTCTCTCTCTCTCTCTAAACTCAAACTTTTTCACCCAAGATCTTTAGATCTACTCACCTAGAGTGATCTTTTCGCCTTGGTCCTTTGAGAAAGATTGTAGATCTCGTCAAGGGCTTCCTTTTGGTCCGAATAGTTCTTGGTTTCGTCACCGGTGATTTTTGGGTCGTCATCTCTTTGCTTCAAGAGGTAGAGGTTTCTAGTTCTTCTTCAATACCCTCATTCATAGATAGATTTGTGGTATTTTCTTTATATAAATGCAAAGTCTATATTTTTATGTATATTGTGATTAATCATGAGATTGCGGGTTAGGGTTTGAAGAGTTGGGGTTTACTTGTTGGGTTATGGTTTGGGTCTTGAGTTTGGGTGTAAAAGCAATAGAAGAGTTGGAATAAAATCTGTTTTGTGAAAAGCTTTAATTTCTCTTAAAAATCCTAGTTTGATCCATGAAGGTAGATGATGGTTTTGCTTAAATTGATTGTAGAATCATAAAATTGAGGTGTTAAATTACACATGTACAAGTTTAATTGAAATTTTAAAGAGTTTGAAAATTTATGTGAAAGTTGCGATTGAACTCTCAATGTTGATATTTTAAATTATGTTATGATATGAAACCAAACTTGGGGGAAAGAAATTACTAATGGAATGGATGATATGAGAATTATGATAAAATGATGAAGTGAATATTTAAGAATCTCATTGTGTTATGTTGAATTGCATTGAGTTATGTTAAATTGTGTTAAGTCCAGGTTGGGTTAAGATGAGTGTGAGTAATGATAAATGGGAGACTGTGAAATATGACGGTGTTACATGAAGGAGTTGTATCAAAGAAATTAATGTTAGAGATTTAATTTATAACCTCACGTAGTAATTGATAATCAATGTGCTGTGAAAATTGATTTTGAAGACTTGATAATAATATGAAAGAGTAAAGAAATAGTTTGAACCCAAGAATCGTGAACACTTTAAAGATTAATCTTTATGCCTCTATAGAAGTGTTTTGAACTAAGGTGTTACGGGAATAATGGACCGAATGTGTTACGGGAAAACGGATGATGTGTTGGCTTTTCCCAATAACCACAATGACAGATGACTCAAGAAAATTCATGGAATGTAATGTTGTTCGGGGTTCCTTTCCTGTCGTGTTTTGAGCCGGCAAAGCATGGCACTAAAATAGGTTTCGTCTTCCTTCCGAAGTAGCACCCGGTAAAGCGTGTGGTATGTTGGGATATGTTAAGGTTCTGTGTTCCTTCCAGCTTGTAACCGGTAAAGCGTGAAGTTTCGCGTTCTTTCCGACTTGAGACCAGTAAAGCGTGAGGTTCCACATTCCTTCCGGCTTGTGACCGGTAAAGCGTGTGGCTCATGGAGATGACTTGTTAATGGATCTGGTGTTTGATATGACATTATTTGAAAGAATGAAAAATGAAATGGTAATTGGATTAGAGGTTGGCAACGATGGACTCACTGGGTTGCTTGTGACTATAAGGGAAAATTATTAGTTTTGTTTTGTAAATAATTGAGAAATTATATTAAAAAGGATTTGTTATTCTTGTGTTATGTTTGAACTCTAATTGATAATGCAAATGTGGATGTGATGTAGTTGTGATATGTTGGACTATAACTGATAATGCAAATGTCGATGTGATGTAGTTGTTAGACAAGTAGGAGTGGAGTGTAGGATAACTGTTATTGAATGTAAAAGAGATTTGGATTTCTACATTAAGGAGTTACAACAAATATGAATAGACTGGTGGGAATGGAGTGTGTGAGGGTTGTTTTGAGTATTAAGCGAACTTGAACTTGAGGTTATGGTGTTATAATTAATGTAACTAGTAAAAAGAAAAAAATGGAAATAAAATGTGGAATGTTAAGATGGAAATTAAATGAGCAATATTATGGAATGGGTTAATAAATTTAAAATGATGTTGTTCCTCAAACAAATTTGCTTTCAAAAAAGGATTCGGATTTATGGTCTCCTGATAATAAGGGAAAATTTTTATCACTGAAGGTTTTCCTTAATTATTCAAATAAATTTTGAAAAAAAAAAAGGGTACTCTACGTATGATATTTTGAAATTAGAAAACGTCACCTACTATATGGTATCACCTGCATGCATGATCATTTCTGTCTATAGATGGTTATTATTTTAGAACTATGAGATTCCTACTGGGCAATTGTGCTCATCCCTTGTTGTTTCATTTTTCTTATAGGAAGAGAAGTCGTATTGATTGGTTGAAGGGTTAAGAAGTTCATGTATCTTTTATGTATAATTTCATAGTAGATGTGAAAGAGATGAATTTTGTATATTGATGTTTGTAATTATTTATTTGTAACTCTGTAGGGGAAGCTTGGCATGTATTATTATAGTTGTATTCATTGAGAGAGGGAACAAGTGTTATTTAGTGTGTTTGATTTGAGTTTTTTGGATTAAGTTTTTTGAAAACTGAGTTTTTTGATTTTCGTGTTTTTTTGTTTTTAGTGAATATTTTTAAAATATTAAACATTTTTTTTACTTTTTTAGATGCACCTTACTTAGATGTATTTAAACAGTAAAAGATTTGTGAAAAAATATTTTAAAAAATTAATAAAAATACAAAAAATGTACTGAATTCTCGTATTTTTTTATTAATTTTTTTTTTTTGTATTTTTGGTATTTAGTGAATTTTTAAAAGGTTTTTTTCACAAATTTTTTACTTTTTAGATATATTTATGTTAGGTATGTCTAAAAAGTAAAAAAAAAAAAAATTGCTTGAAATATTAAAAAAATTCAGTAAAAACAAAAAAAATATGGAAAACAAGAAAGTAAAATTTTCTAAAAAGTATTTTTAGAAAAGTGAAAACAAGCAAAGTGATTGTGTTTCTATTACTCAAGGGTAATAGATATTTAAAAAGAAAAAATGGACCTAAATTAAAGCCTTTTCGTAATATTTCCGAGTAATTAAAATTCGAAACGTGACACTCTCTGTGTCTCTCTGTCTCTATTTTGATGATAGAAAAATTAAAATTTGTAGAGGCAATTGTCAAAGGGTTCAAAACATGCTTTTCTCTCATTGAACTCGTGATTCTTCTACAATTCTGCGTCGTTGCATGCCTCTCTTCCGCTGTATGAAAATGTCCCACACCCCTTGTATTATTAGAGGTGGGCATGGTCCGGATTTGGGTAAAATTAGGACTAATCCATTATCTACGGTTCCTGAAATATTGGAACCAATCCAATTCGTTTAAATCATGCAACCAATCTGAACCAAACCATTTAAACACAAATTGGATCGGTTTAGGACCACAGATTCACATAATTAAATAACAAAACAATATATAGAACATTTTAATTTCATAAAAACATAAACATAGTATCATATTAGTTCCACAATAGCAACATGTCTTTTCATAATAGTGACATACTATCCTAGAATTTAAACAACCATAAGAAAGCTAGTTCTACCATAAGTATTTAGATCATTACAAATTAAAACTAAAAACCAACAAACAAAAATAATAAAAGAACATACTAAGCCGGTTTAGGTTTAGGTTTAGGTTTTATATGGAATAAGAGAAGATATTATGCGATAGGGTGTATAATATAAATATAGGCTATTTGTATATGGTCCGGATCGGTTCAGGATGGAACGGATTTGTGGACTATGGATTTTTTAATTTTTCAATCAAGAACCGAATCACAGATTCAAAAAAACAATCAAAACCTACCGGATTGGACTGGACCGGATCGAATTACGAATTTTACAGATTTCTTGCTCAGCCCTCGTATTATTTGACCTTCCTAAAGCTATCACAAGGTATCAATTTACTTCTCTCCACTGAAACTAGGATAAAGTCTCACTTTAGCTCTCCCCCTTTGAAACTATCACGAAGTATTACTTTACTACCTAAACTATAAAATGATACAATTAAACCCTTCAATAAATACACTAATTTACTCATTATTCTGTCTTTGGCATTTAATTTTACAAGTTCTACTCATTTACTAGAAAGTTCACTTTGCTAATAGTTAAATTACACCTAAACATTGAGGCTAAATTTCACCATTTGAAGAGAATGAAATTTCACTAGTTGAAGATAATGAAATAATTATTACTATCAAGTTTTAATTGACCAATATTAAAATTTTGGTAATTACACACATTATAGAATTAATTAGACAACAAATTAATTAAGAAAATTAAATTATCGTTAGCTAATTAAAAATATAGTGACTATCAGTTGTTGCTCCAACGAAACCATTGGTGACATCTCTCTTTAACTCATAAGTTTTTCATTTACTTACTAGTTCGTCATTGCCTTTAATTTTATAATTTTTACTTCTTTAGTAGAAATTTCACTTTTTTGATAATTTCACCTAAATATTAAGGTTAAATTTCACTATTTAAAGAGAATGAAATTTCACTAGTTCAAATTATGGTATGTTTTATGATAACGATGACGATCATAATAAAGGTGGTGGTAATAGCAATGGTGGTGGTGGTGGTGGCGGCGACAGTGACAGTGACAATGATGGTGATGACGGTTGCAGCAATATTAGTGATAATTGTAGCAATTATAAGGTTATAATGGTATATGTTGATACTTGTGCATAAATATTTATAAATTCAATTAGCATTAAATAATTATGTAATTTTATGTGAGAAATTCGTCATACTTTAAATGACTTTTAGCCTACAAACTCAATTATAATTGGATTCAAATGGATTGAAGAAAGGGTACCACCTCTTACGCCAACACCACCAAATTATAAAAATAACTTTTAAATAATATATACTTTACAAAAAATATATATAAAAACCATGTTTAGTCACCAAATAATTATCAACAGTTTTTTTCATTTTTTGTAGACAAAAACTTCAAATTTTTTGGGCTAATAAATATTTAGTTACCAAACAAAATTTATTTTTCATCTTGTTTTTTTTTTTTTTGGCTATTAACTATTTAGTCGCCAAAAATATTTTATTTCAGTTGGCTACCAAATATTTAGTAACGAAAAAACCTTGATTTCCTTTTGGCTACCAATTGGTTAGTCTCTAACAACTTCACTTCTTTTTGGCTACTAAATGTTTAGTCGCCAAAAACTTTCTTTAGTGTTTTATTATTATTATTAATTTCGCCACAACTTGTATTTATTCTATGCAACCTATACCCTGTACATAAACAAAATAATAACAATCCAAGAAAATCTAACTTTTAACGTCAAACTCGAAATATAATAGAAATTCCATACAAACCAAGCATAATCCAACTTAAAATAATAATTCTATGCAAAACAGAAGATTATACACAAACCATATCTTGTGTACACAAAAATAGAAATATCCACAATACCATGTCAAATGGTAATCTATACCACGCCAAAAGTAATATGTTCTATGCCAAAAGTAATTTGTACCATGCCAATAGTTATCTATATGAACAATAGTAATCCACAAAAAAACAACGGACAACATAATAACGGATTAGAAAAATTAAAAAAAAAAAAAAAACATTATCCTCAGCACACAAATAAGAAGTATCCACATTTTCACGCCAAAAACCATCTGTAAAAATAAAATTAACTATTATCATTGTTTGAATAACATTATCATTTCAAATTATAAAAGAAAATTACATAATATCCACAATACCATGTCAAATGGTAATCTATACCACGCCAAAAGTAATACTATGTTCTATACCAAAAGTAATTTGTACCATGCCAATAGTTATCTGTATGAACAATAGTAATCCACAAAAAAACAAAGGACAACATAATAACGGATTAGAAAAATTATAAAAAAAATTATAAAAAAAAAAACATTATCCTCAGCACACAAATAAGAAGTATCCACATTTTCACGCCAAAAACCATCTGTAAAAATAAAATTAACTATTATCATTGTTTGAATAACATTATCATTTCAAATTATAAAAGAAAATTACATAAAACTCGAATGTATATAATCTTTTCAAAATTGTATAATTATAGTCGTAATCATATGTTGCATGTTCGGTCAAGTTTTTCCCAAGTTTCCCCCTCTTGAAATGCAATTTTTCAGTTAAGTTTAAGGTATTTTCATCTCTAACTCCCAACCTATGTGTCCTACTCATAGGCCATATGTCCCCATATGTTCTATTAGGAACAAGGAAGCTGCCCACGCAATCCCTAGAGTGGTTCAAGATTGTTTTGCATTTTCGGCCCCCCAATGCACTTTTTCGACTAAGTTTAACGGATTTTTTACTCTAACTCTCAACATACGTGTCCTAATTACATCCCATATGTCCCAACAGGTTGTACTTGTCACAAGCAAGTTGTCGATGACATCCCCAGAGTGGTTTAGGCACTGTTTTGTATTTTTGCCCCCGTAACACCCATTTTCAACTAAGTTTAAATCATTTTCAACTCTAACTCCCAACCTATGTGTCCTAATTACATATCGTCTATCCCCACAGGTCGTATTTATCACAAGTAAGCTGCCTGTGACATCCACAGAGTGGTTCGCAGGCTGTTTCTCATTTTTGCCCACCAGACGCCCTTTTTCGACAAAGTTTTAGGCGTTTTTTACTCTAACTTCCAATCTACATGTCCTAATTACATGTCTTTTGTCCCCACAGGTCATATTTGTCACAAGCAATCTTCTCGCGACATCCCCAGAGTGGTTTAAGGGTTGTTTTGCATTTTCACCCCTGAACGCCCTTTTTCAACAAAGTTTAAAGCGTATTTTACTCTAACTTTCAACCTGCATGTCCTAATTACATGTTATAGCGATCCCGGGTTTTACCCCTTTATGTACAGTGATCCGGACTTGTTTCTGTGGATGTTGATTGTCATTTATATCTTGTTTCCATCATTCAATACTTGTTATTTGAGTTATAGGATGTGATGGGAAGGTTTGTTTCAGGTTGGGAGTGATTGGGAGCAAATGGTTGCTGCGCAGAATTTTGGTTCTTCGCTTGAGCGAGACTTTGGTCACTCGAGCGAGCTCTGTGTTTTAGATCCTTCGCTCGAGCCAGGGTTCCTTCGCTCGAGCTAGAGTTGAGTTTTGTGTCTGGTGGCTCGAGCGAGAAATCTTACGCTCGAGCGTGCGTCTGCGTCTCATTTTGACCTGAGAGCTGTGTTTCTTGGCTCGAGCGAGCTTTCCTACACTCGAGCGAGCGAGGTGTATGTTTTGGGTTCCTTCACTCGAGCGAGCATTCTTGCGCTCGAGCGTGCTTCTGGGTTGCAGACCTGAAGCTTCAAATTGTTGGCTCGAGCGAGGCATTCTACGCTCAAGCGAGGCTTTCTTGTGTCTGGTCGCTTGAGCGACCAACTCTTCGCTCGAGCGAGCCTGTTGTATATCAGTAGGCAGCAGCGGGAATAACTTCACTTTTTCATTCTCTTTTCTTTTGCAAACCCCAGATCCGACTCTCTCTCTCTCTCTCTCTCTCTCTCTATACTTGTCTTCTCTCTAGGGATTGATCTACCTATAGTGATTTTCTACCCTAAGTTCTTTGTATAAAAGATAGAGGGTGTTGAGGGCTTCGTTCTAATCTGAAATTTGTGGATTTGGAGCACTTTGGTTTTTGGCCTTCATCTCCATTTGGGCTCTAACTTTGAGGTAGGGATACCCTACTCCTTCTTATGAGCTTTGTCTTTAAGTTTTGGCATTTTGATATGTTGGGAGTTGTTGTGTAATTTTGGGAAAAGTTTGGGTCTTTGTGTAATTTACAAAAGATGGGGGTTTTGTATATAATAACCCATATTCATGTATGACATAGAGAAATGAGGTTAATGTTGGATTATTGAGGAAAATGGAACCTTTGGGTTGATATGTGAGTTATGGGAAAATGTCCTAATTAGTTTGATAAATTAATTTGTATAATTAATTTTGAGAAATGAGAAATTGAATTGAGAATATTCAAATTGGAAAGGTATGAAATTAAATGGTGTAGTTGGAATCAATTTATCACTCACCTAGTTGAAATATGGATAGTATATCCTTTGACGTATTTATTTTCTGTTTAGAAATAACTGCTTTGGGCTATCGGTGGAGGATAGTCTTGATTGTTGTAAACAATGCATGATGATTAGGCACACTAGAACTAATCAATTGAGTATGCTATCGATTATAGCGGTTGGTATAATACATCAAATTTTGTATTGATTGATTGAGCTTGTATGTGATAATTGCTTGTATACATTGTTTTATGTGGGAGGAGATGGGGGATGTACTCCACGGTTTAGGGGAAGATAAGGGATGGACCTCTAAACCGAATTTTGTTTGGCATTGATACAGCACTAAAATGTGTATCATTTGTGAAGTATGGAAGTGTTTTTACATGTTATTGATACAGCACTAAAATATGTATCATTTGTGAAGTATGGAAGTGAGTTTGTTTGAAATTGATACAGCACCAAATTGTGTATCTATTATGAAGAAAGAATTGTTTAACATGAGTTGTTATCCCAATTGAATTGGAAATATTGTTAATAAGAGATGTGATCTCTGTCGGATTATCTGGCCAGGTTCTGAACCCCGCTTTTGAAATGAAATATAACATGGGCATGATTGTCATGGAATTGTAATGTGTTGTAAGTGGATGTATAAGTGTGGACCATCTATCAACTGCTAATATTTTAGTCATTGTTTATAGTTGGTTTAGTATATTTCTACTGGGCTGTGGCTCACCCTATATGGGACATCATTTTCAGGTACAGATGGTATGCCACCTCCAAGGACATAGCTTGGGAGGCTAGAGGCAGGCAGACTTTTTGGTTGTTTTGCTTTATTTTTGATGTATTACATGTAAATTCAAGCCAAGGGCTTAATAAATATTTGAGTTAGCACTCACTTCTTGTATCCAAGTGTTGGCTTGGAAAGTTGTAAGCCCATAGGGCATTTACTTTTGATGTCAACATGTAATACTTTTGTAAAGAACTACTCTGATGAATAGAAAGATGTTATTTCTCTTATATAAATGCATGTCATGAATGATGGGTCATGTAATACTTATGTAATGAAACTCAATGAAATAAAGGAATGTGGTTAGTTTATATGTAAATGCTTGTCTTATCTGATGGGTTTAATGTTATTATTTTGAGGGCGTTACAATAGAAAAACTAAAAGTTGGTTTATTGACACACCTCATGATTGATTTAAACACTAGAAGGTTATTCTAAATAAATATTTCAAATTCAAGTAATTCCTCCATATTCTTATCAGGTACTCAATAGTTGTCCTAAAGTATGACTTCAAAATCAAGCTAAAATAAAAAAAAAATAAAAAAACTCATGCAATTTCACGACAGTCCATTAAAGAATTCAATAAATATTTTAATAGAATGTGCAAAGTTTAGAAATAGAATCGCATTCAAATCAATTGAGCCCATTCCATTCTTTTCCTATTTTATGTTCTTTAATGAACACTAAAGTGACAAAGAAATATTAGAGTTATTGCCAACATTTTAAACCATGCATTAGGATTGGAGATGCTCTATCTAACAGGGCATAAAGTTCTTTAACCAATCAATTTCTAACCACAAACAAAACTTAGCATTTATATTCAATTTAAACTAGAATTTATATACAAAACATAGCAAAACATTTTTCTTTTCAATTAAATAGTGGCTTAAGTTTAGTATACGTTGTGCATCGTACGGGACTCTTTAGTTAATTTCATATCCAAACCAGACTATTCTATCGGCTTCATGTTATGTGATGTGCGCGATGCTCCTGATCAAAATGATTATGATCTGAAAGTTAGGATGTTAATACAAAACATGTCATACATTGCCAGCATATCTGATCTGAGATCTACGGTTGGGATGACTCGTATGGTTGGCATCATGACTATCTATGGTTATGTGGATTGCACACGAGATGTGAATGGTCAGGATTGCACCACGTGCTTATTAGGCGCTACTAATTCAATACCGTCTTCTTGTTTAGGCAAATGGGCTAGTTGGATAGCTACTCCTACTTGTGACATACAGTTTAACATGGACCAGTTCATGATGATTGGATCAATCTACCAGAAATTGACACGAATGTGGCGACCGCCACAGCGCTGGTGACTGAGTCATCATCTCTGGCAGATGACAGTGGTTTAGAATCTTCTGGTGGTGACAGAGGAGATGGTAATAAAGAGAGAAGTATTATATTGGTTGTGGTTGTGGTTGTGGCATTTATTCTGGTAATTGGGGTGATCTTGGCGGTTAGATAGAGAAGGAAAAGAGCAGACAAAATAGGGAAGATGAAGATGATGATAATGATGAAAGAGGAGGGCAAAGGGTCCAAATCTTTCTCATACGATTTAGATGTGTTGTTAGCTGCAACTGATAATTTCTCCTCTGCAAATCAGCTTTTGTCCATTTCAGCTTTAGTTAATTTCATATCCAAACCAGACTATTCTATCGGCTTCATGTTATGTGATGTGCGCGATGCTCCTGATCAAAATGATTATGATCCGAAAGTTAGGATGTTAATACAAAACCTGTCATACATTGCCGGTATATCTGATCTGAGATCTGCGGTTGGGATGACTCGTATGGTAGGCATCATGACTATCTATGGTTATGTGGATTGCACACGAGATGTGAATGGTCAGGATTGCACCACGTGCTTATTAGGCGCTACTGATTCAATACCGTCTTCTTGTTTAGGCAAATGGGTTGGTTGGATAGCTACTCCTACTTGTGACATACAGTTTAACATGGACCAGTTCATGATGATTGGATCAATCTACCAGAAATTGACACGAATGTGGCGACCGCCACAGCGCTGGTGACTGAGTCATCATCTCTGGCAGATGACAGTGGTTTAGAATCTTCTGGTGGTGACAGAGGAGATGGTAATAAAGAGAGAAGTATTATATTGGTTGTTGTTGTGGTTGTGGCATTTATTCTGGTAATTGGGGTGATCTTGGCGGTTAGATAGAGAAGGAAAAGAGCAGACAAAATAGGGAAGATGAAGATGATGATAATGATGAAAGAGGAGGGCAAAGGGTCCAAATCTTTCTCATACGATTTAGATGTGTTGTTAGCTGCAACTGATAATTTCTCCTCTGCAAATCAGCTTTTGTCCATTTCAGAGTGCTAACCAGGATGAAACTTATATGATTTGATTGATAGATTATAACATTTGACAAACTAAAACTTATTCTAATTCAATTACCTGCATCTTTGCTATAAACATCACAAGGAGTGCATACAAACCAATTCCACTAGTATACACCTATATATTCTTAGGACTCTAAAATTAGGCAAATCAAAAGGAAAAGTTTATAGGAAAACTAATCAGAACAAGTAAATGAATCCACACCTTATTTAACTCTCTTAGTTGCAGAAAAATTTTCAAGATAAAATACAATGGCTATAATGGGGGCCACTTAGATATGGCATCCGGAAATAGAATCACATATATATTACAAATTGCAAGAACCACATAGAAAGAACTCATGCATATCCAACGTAAGTGAGAATTTTACATATGTGAGAAACTAATCAACTATATGTGCATAGATATACATATGTCTACATATATTACATGTTTGAAACATATTTAAGGAGCCTTCATTCCAAAACTTATCACAATAAGTGAAATATGAGGAGCTTATATTCAGGAGAAGCACATAAAATGACATAACTAGTTACCTTATTGCTCTTCTTTGTTGCCCATGCCCATATATGAAGAATTCTGGTGTTCTACCTAACCTATTGCATGGTTATACATTAGGTTGTTATTCATTTAAAAATAAATTAGATTGAAGCAAAATACCAAGATAGGACTAAAATACATTCGGTTGTTATTCATTGAAGAAGCGGTACTTGAATGGATTTTGCATACCCGTGCTTCATAGGCAGCTGCAGATTCAGAAAGGGACAAAGTGACATCTCAAATTTTGAATAAGTACAGGTTTGACTCTAAAATGTACACATTTGTCATTTTGGACAAAAACATATTTGAGATGTTAACTTTGAAATTCATTTTCTCCAAATTGCCTCATTGAAAAATTATGACACTTTCCAAAAATATATTTGAGTCTAGTTTCTAACCCCGTTGATCTTGCATGAATTCATTGTGTTTCGAATGATATTTGATAGCCAAAAAAAAACAATGACAATGGGTTAGAATCTATCCGAGTAAAATAAAATAGGTAATTCTCCCTTAAATTTAAGTCAAACGTGGCCCATCTTATGTCAAAATAAAGATAAAAAAGAATGCTAGGTGATGTAAAATTTTTAAAGTATGGTTCAAAATACTCTAAGAGATATGACCTTGAAAGTGGACTATTGTGTAGGCAATGTGCTGGAAATTTGGTACAAAAGTCTTTTTGACTTTTATAATTGGTCAAAGAGCCTCAAAGTACTCTTGAAAGGTTCATGTAGGATGTTCAAGTTTCTTCAGCCTCATCATAAACATCCCAAGCCTTTAATCATAGATTAAACAAAATAAAATTAAAAAAGTGCATGTAACCAACTATACATAATGAGATTGTTAACTAGGACAGCCGATTGCTCAAAATGACAACTTCTTGAACATAGAAATTGTAACAATTACCCTCCTAAGAAGTGTTGGAAATTGGGCCGGGTATTATACCCGAATTTGGGCGCCCATGTGGCATGACCCATGGCCCATTCAAATTACCCATGTAATTTGAATTTAATTTCCTGATTATCCTATTTGTTAGAATAACCCTCTATCTATCTACATCTATCCTATCCTTATGAGATACGAATAGATGGATATATATGGTTATATATCTGATTATATCTTTGAATATATAGAACATCATATACGTTATGTATTTTTTACCCATAACTCTTTTTTCCAAACTCTCTCTTAACTCTCTCCCATACGAAAATCGATCAAGCCTTTGCACTCTGAATAGAGTGGGTGATACTCATACTGTGGTACCACTCCATTGTTAGGAGTTCATAGTTCGTGGTTGTCAAGCACATGATTTACCCACAAGGTATGGTTTGAATCTTTTTACCTGCTACGTTATCTGAATCCTACATTGGTATCAGAGCCATAAATAGGTATTTTTTTGCTTGTTTTTTGTGCATTAAAATATGTATATAATTATATATATATACACATGATATATGCATGAAAAATTAACATTTTTCCGAAATTTCTCCGATCAACTTGAAATTTACATATGTTGTAGTATATTTCATATAGAATATATCTGCAAAGTTTCATGAAAATCCAACGGTCAGATTTTGAGAAAAAATGGAGATTCATATTTAATTTTTCATAATTTTGACTACATGCTGGTTTCAAATGCTTTGTTTTTATATTATGAAAATTATATGTTTGGAATCCTTGTTTCGATACCTTCGAAATGGTATATTATGGGCCTGATTCTGACTTACGGCTAATGAGAAAAAGCAAACCATAATTTGAGTTCGTTTTATATTTTTGGTGGCTTAAGGAAGAAGATGAAGTGCAGAGTTTCTGCACTTCCACTCTCATTAGAGAGAGAGTGTGCTACACTCCATTATTTGTGTTTGTTAAATGCCATTTTTGAGTCCACCAATATTTTTATTTTCGGAAATAGCGTCCGACAGTACCAAAATTGGACCAGAAAACACCCCGGAAGGCGGCGCATGAGCCAAACGCACCAGATGACGCCGTCAGCGGTGGACCACGCACTTCCACGCACCAGATACGCTTCCCACACGTTTCCACACACCATTACGCGCGCCATACGTCACCTTCAGCTACACGCTCCAGGCGCGCTTTCCACATGATCGACTTGCACCCTTCCCACGCGCGAGCTGAGCCGCGCTACTTTGAGCCGCACCACGTGCGCTGCCGTGCGCGCCGTGCACTGCATCGAGCCGAGCCGCGCTGTTTTTCCATGCCGGCTTGGCTGGCTTGGTGGCTGGATGTTAAGGCATTGTTTATTTTTCCCTTAAATCCTGAATCGCGTTAAATGGTCATAAATAATTTGTTATAGCTTTGTTTTGAGCGTGGTTGGTACTATTGAACTTGGAATTAAATTTTTTATCTACTGTAAAATTTTCAAAATTTTATGAAAATAAAAATAATTTTCCTAAAATAATAATTCATTATTTCTATTTTAAAATGCTTCTGAGGTTGTATGACTAAGTTTCTAAGGCTAAAATTTTTACAGTAAACTACTGTAATGGTTTACTATTTACTTATAGTGATCCTGGTTGTCCCTCTACTGCTCGGTTATATTCCGGACTCGGTTCCGTGAAGTTGGTGGTTGTGTACCCTGTTGTTATCCTTTGATTCCACCAGTGTGACTTTTAGGATGTTTTGGGCAGGTGGGTTGCAGGTTGGTTGAACCTTAGTCTCAAATCTAGTTGTCCAGGTTTTTGGTGTTACACTCGAGCGGGTCATTCTGCGCTCGACCGGAGTTTGGTTTTTGGTTGTACGCTCGAGCAGGTCTTTTTGCGTTCGAGCGGGGTCTACACACTTCCAGTATTTCGTGGCCCTGCAAAACTTCTGCAGGTGTTTTTTCTACGCTCGAGCAGGTTTCTTGCGCTCGAGCGGGTCGCGCTCGAGCGGTATTGTTGGCGCTCGAGCGGGTAGTCCTTTTCCTGCAAAGTTCTGGGAGATGAAAATCTGCGCTCGAGCGGGCTGGTTTTCACGCTCGAGCGGATGTGTTTTGCCTTTGTTTCTTGGCGCTCGAGCGGGACCAGATGTTTGTGCTTTACGCTCGAGCGCTCTATTATACGCTCGAGCAGGTTAGGCGTATATGAGTCATCCGCTGGGTGATTTTAAATCACTTTTTACTTTTCTTTCTCTCTCCTACTTTTTCTAAAATCCATTTTTGAGAGCCCCTCTCTCTAGAAACTCCCTTCTATCTAGGGTTTGATCTAGTTAGAATGTCTTCCTTCTCTTCGGCCTTTGTAAAAGTTGTGTTGATCGTCGAGGACGTCGTTTTGATCCGAAAATCTTAGTTTTTGGAGCACTTTGGTTTTGGTCTCTTCTCCATCTGAGCTCTAACTTCGAGGTAGGGATATCCTACTCCTCTTTATGAGTTTTGTCTTTAAATTTTAGCATTTCGATATGTTGGGGGTTGTTGGGTAATTTTGAGAGAGTTTGGGCCTTTGTGTAATTTTACAAACGTTGGGGTTTTAATTATATGAAACCTAAATGCATGTTTGGCATGAAGGAATGAAGTAAATTTTGAAACATTGATGAAAATGAAACCATGGAGGGTTGAAATGTTAATTATGGAAA